GGTAATCCGAGCGGGTCATCGGCCTCTTGCAACTGTCGTGACTTTTGGGCTCCTCAGGCCTGATGTTGGAGTAAGTCTCGCAGCAGCCCCCTCCCTATGGGGCCCGCGGGTCCGCGCCCTACGTGCTTTCTCCAGGTCGTCCTCGGGCGCGTAGCCGCGGGGACGCACGTCGCGCGTTTCCTCTAGGTCGTGTTCCGCACGAGGAGGAGGAGGAGGAGGAGGAGGAGGAGGAGGAGGAGGAGGAGGACGAGGAGGAGGAGGAGCAGGAGCAGGAGGAGGAGGAGGAGGCAGGAGGAGGAGGAGGAGGCGGAGGAGGAGGAGGAGGAGCAGGAGGGGAGGAGGAGGAGGAAGAGAGGAGGAGGGTCGAGGAGGAGGAGGGGGAGGCAGGAGGAGGAGGAGGAGGAGGAGGAGGAGGAGGAGGAGGAGAGGAGGAGGAGGCGGAGGAGGACGAGGCAGGTGTGGAGGCAGTAGGAGGAGCAGGCAGGAGGAGAAGGAGGAGGCAGGAGTAGGTGGGAGAAGGGAGGGGGCAGGAGGAGATCCGCAGGCAAATTAAACATATTCTTATGCGGGGTCCGACCCTCGGAATCATTTTACTATATATATATATATATATATACACATGCAGTACAACAAATATCACGCGACCCCCAGAGGTCTGGGCCCAGTCCCCGGGACTGGTCTTTCCTCCCGAGTCGATCCTGGGCGGCTCTGCGAGGTTCGGTGAGGGCCCCCAGGGGCTGGAAACAGTAAACAAAGAAGACCCGTCGTGGTGATCGTTTTTATGCTCATTTCCCACATGCTTAGTGGAGTTTCGGTTTTCTTCCCTGCCGCGTCGCACCCGCGTCTCCTCCCACTACACAACTCCCTCTTCCCCTCCTCCTCCTCGCCTCTCCCTCGCCTCGCCCGAGCGCAACGCTTGCACGGCACGAGGCGCTTTCTCCACACCAGAGGGGGTGCGCAGGGGGTGGTCCCTCACCGCGGTCTCTATCCGTCCCAGGATCGCGGGGCGTGGCAGGCGTGGCACTTTCTCGACACTAGAGGGGGTGCGCAGGGGGTGGTCCCTCACCGCGGTCTCTATCCGTCCCAGGGTCGCGGGGCGTGGCAGGCGTGGCACTTTCTCGACACTAGAGGGGGTAAGCAGGGGGTGGTCCCTCACCGCGGTCTCTATCCGTCCCAGGGTCGCGAGGCGTGGCAGGCGTGGCGCCTTCTCGACGTCAGAGGGTGAGCGCAGGGGGTGGTGTCTCACCGAAGTCTCTATACGCGCCAATGCCGCAGGGCCTGGCAGGCGTGGCACTCTCTCGACACCAGAGGTGGTGCGCAGGGAGTGGTCTCTCACCGCGGTCTCTATAAGCGCCAATGTCGCGGGCCTAGCAGGCGTGGCGCCTTCTCGACGTCACACGGGGTGCGCAGGGGATGGTCTCTCACCGCAGTCTCTATACGCGCCAATGGCGCAAGGCCTAGCAGGCGTGGCACCTTCTCGACGTCAGACGGAGTGCGCAGGGGGTGGTGTCTCACCGAGGTCTCTATACGCGCCAATGTCGGAGGGCCCAGCAGGCGTGGCACCTTCTCGACGTCGCAGGGGGGCGCAGGGGGTCGTCTCTCACCGCGGTCTCTATACGCGCCAATGTTGCAGGGCCTAGCAGGAGTAGCACTTTCTCGACGTCGCAGGGAGGCGCAGGGGGTGATTGTTCACCGCGGTCTATGTGCGCCAATGTCGTATGGCCTAGCAGGCGTGGCACCTTCTCGGCACCAGAGGGGGCAAGAGGGGGGGGGTCTCTCACTGCCGTCTCTACATGCGTCATGTCGCAGGGCCTAGCAGGCGTGGCACCTTCTCGACGTCACACGGGGGGCGCAGGTTGTGGTCTCTCACCGCGGTCTCTACGCGCGCCAATGTTGCAGGGCCCTGCAGGCGTGGCATTTTCTCGACGTCACAGGGGGTGCGCAGGGGATGGTCTCTCACCGTGGTCTCTATAGGCGCCAACGTCGCAGGGCCTAGCAGGAGTGGCACTTTCTCGACGTCACGAGGGGGCGCAGGGGATGGTCGTTCACCGCAGTCCCTATACGCGCCAATGTCGCGTGGCCTAGCAGGCGTGGCATTTCTCGACGTCACAGGTGGTGCGCAGGGGGTGGTTTCTCATCGATGTCTGTATACGCCCCCAATGTCGCAGGACCTAGCAGGCGTGTTGTGCAGTATGCACAGGTGTCTCATGCGACAGCGAGGCTATGAGGATGCTTCAGGGCATGGGTCACGGCGGCCGCTATGCGCGCCTGTCGTCCTGGACATAGCAGGCGTGGCGCTTTCCTGGCACCATCGAGGGTGCGCAGGGGGTGGCTTTTCACCGCAGCCGCTACGCGCGCCAGTCGTCCAGGGCACAGTAGGCGTGGTATTTTCTCGACACCATAGAGGGTGTTCAGGGGTGTCGGTGTCCCAGGACCTATGGACCCACTCAGGGTATTCAGGCTCCCAAGTCTTGGCAGGCGCCACCAACGGGGTCGGCGAAGCAACGGCCACCTGCATCATTCTCGCAAGTTTCACGTCAGCTATCACCACGCCAGACATTTTACAAGTATGTGGGGTTCCGGTCGTGTAATTGTTTAGCCGATCGGCGCGGGCCTTCGCACCCCCTCCCCCTTTCTACCCTTATGGAGAGTGGACATCCGTTGTTTTTGGCGCCTGTTGCAGGCAAGCGGGGCCTCCCCCCAGAGGACGCAAGGTTGCAAACAGCCGCATCCTGACTCGAGGTGCTGGTGCAACAGGTGCCAAAACACGTTTTCCTTCGCACGGTTGCAAACAGCCGCATCCACTCCACCGCCACTCCACTGTAAGAAAACGCTGGTGTTTTGCTTCCTGACTCGAGGGTGGGTTTGGG